AAATCTACTTTGCGCCCTCAAACCCAGCGGGTCTCACGGGCATTGCATTCACACAACATGCGTACAATGAAGCGCAATTACATGCGGCACCATTGTGGGATCATCGAAAAAGAATAAGCGTCCTAGGGTATGATGCAGTTATTCGGTCACATTTGCATACGTTTTAAGCTTCTTTTGCACCAACTTCACATGCCATCCACAATCACTCCAATTTTCAACAACATGTATGAAAAACATAGGATCTCCAAGCTAATCATGAGATGTCTGATAAAGTGGATAAGATTAGGCTACAAGAAGCTGGTGGGATTACAGCTTGCCGCTTCAGCTTCGGCATGATGTCTTGCTCCGAAAATGTCCGTCACATAACGGATGAGAGCTCGACAAAGATGCATTGAAGTCGCAAAGCGGTGCCCCAAGGACCTATTCACACAAATATACAATCACAGTTCCATGGAAATCCTCATGCCGCTTCCGGTGAGGGCAACTTACGAATCCCTTCCAGTCCAACCTTTGAACGTAATGAAAGGTACTCCAACATGAAGTCTAATTTTTATTTGCAAAGATATTAACTAGAATGTGAGATATTCATTTATTTAGGATTGAGAGGAAAAAAGTTTTATCAAAACAAACCTTGTTTTAAACATTTTTGTGGGAATCTCAATCATCGAGATTAATATCAAAGGGGCTTTAAAAAAGTTTAATCTCTCTTATTCATTTCTAATCTTAATCTACCACTTTCAGTTCACAAGTTGTGGCATTAGAACAAACTCAAAATGCAGGTTTGTTCTCACCTGAGACGATGACCAAGAAGAGTGTATCACTTATACCATAACCCATTTTCGTTATAATTCTGTGAATTCTGAGCCTTTACAAACCAATTCACAAGCCAACTGATAGTAATTATGAGCGAAGAAAAGTTGGGTTTCGAAGAATCTCTTGTTTCATAATTTCTAACTTTCACTTCGAGTGAAAATGTTTGGTGAAGAGATTGGAAGGTCGATTGTACCAGAAGACGACGGCGGATTCCTCTTGACCAGCTGTCGATTGGCTTTACTGGAAAAATCATGCTGACACTGTTTCCGAGGTAATCTTCTTCGATTCCGGTAAAAAGGTGTTGAGCTTTCGTCCGTCATATGACGAACATCATCAGAGCAAGGTATCCTCGTCGCAACCAAATTCAAGCTAACGAGTAAAGAGTATAAGTGAATGCAAATGAAAAAAATTCATCTTCCATTATGTCTGTTTATTTGAGCTAGGAATGGGTCTACAGGAATGGGTTGAATTCTGGCGATAGTTGAAAAATTCTCTCCAATACTTTGCTAAGTATGAAGACCATAATACACAAGTCCAGTTCCAATTTTTCGTATCAGAAAGCTGTTTAATAGTGGAGCTTTCAGGGCGTCGGCAACAGTTTACAAACTATGATGACAAAAGAGTATGGTTTGCGATAAAATATGTCAGGTCCTAAAACATGGAACTTGTTTTATTGGCTTCGAGGTCCCCGATAGTCATTGTGATCTGATGATGTTCGTGCTATGACGGACGAAAGCTTAGCATGCTTTCACCGGAATCGAAGAAGATTGCCTTGGAAACAGCGTCAGCATGAATGTTGCAGTAAAGCTAATCAACAGCTGGTCAAGAGGAATCCACCGTCGTCTTTTGGTGGAACCAACCTTCGAATCTCTTCACACAACACTTTCACTCGAAACGGAAGTAAGCACAGTAATTATCAGACCTGAACAAGCTTTAAATTACAATCATTCCCGCAGTTTTAGAAAATAGTTTGCACCTGTGCCTCTTATCAAGGACGAGTTAAGAAGCTATACATATGTTTATAATCTGAGTTAGTAACTAAATTATTATAATATGAGACGTATTCACCTTATTGGGTTTAAGGTGAGGAAGGACTGGTAGTAGAATTTTCCCACAATGATATGAATAGAGCTGGCGCTTCCCTTGAATTGCACATTGCCTTGCTTCAACAAAAGTTGTTCTCATCCAGGCAGAAGTGGACTGCAGTTTCGACCTTGCATCGGTCTTATCAACACCCTCAGCGGGAATCGAATTGTGACAGTGCAGAATGGGAGCTTGACACGCTAACCACTCGACCACATTGCTACGAGTGCCCTTGGGTGAGAGGGCAGATGTGAATTTCAAGGAAGGCCATGCATTTTTCCATATAATATTCTTTGGCGCGATTGTCGATGAAGCGAACGTATATTTGCTATAACAATCGACTACGTTACTTATTTTTTGTAAATGATTAGGCTTTTCGTGACTACCATTACATCATATCATATCATTGTGGAAAAAATCAATTGCCAGTCCTTCATCGCCTTAAAGGAAATAGGATGAACACAACTCATATACCAGATTTACTTGTAGTCTCAAAAACCTACTCATTGACGAAAAATCTCTTTAGCTTGTTTTTTTTAATATCGAAGCCGTAAATCATTTGTCACATTCCTCATTCACATAATCTCCTAGTCTTCTTTAGACTTATTTTTTACCATTTTTCTTATTTCACCCGTTAAAAAAAACAATTGAGCCACCATTTGCACGGAAGCAAAGTAAGTTATGATGCTTTATAAGTAGATTTTTGAGACCAACAATAGAGCACGTATGTGTGATCTATTCACCATTTTTCGTTTAAGGTGATATATTACTGATATAATATGAGTAGGCCTCATATTTGCATTAACTTTCACATAGCTCTGCTTCACAAAATGTATTCTCCTCCAGACTGAACTGGATTCGCCTAGATCTCATCAACACCCCCGGCGAGACTTGATTCATTATTGGGAAGCGTATAAATAATATTGACGCTTTATCTACTACCTCACGCCCTTGGCTTACAGAGGAGATGTAAAGTTTAAGAGGGACCAGGCATTTTCCCATATCGCATTCTATTATGGGGTTGCCAATGAAGCAGAGTTGCAACTGCCATAGTAATTTTTCGTTTATAAGTAGGTTTTAGGTCTATCAGTAGATCTTATATATTAGATATATTTACCATATTTCGTGAAAGGGGATGAAAGATTGGTAGTGAATTTCACATATGTCCTGTGCCAGTGTGGCGGAATGGTTGACGTATTGTGATTATACGTGGATGAGAGGTAGAAACTTAAGTTGACTATCATTCTTGGAATTTCCCTAGTCGCTATTTCGGGGCCAGCTTTACTGTTCCGCGAATGTTAAGGTTTCTCCACCTTCTCGTTGCCGACGGATTAAGTGTAGCCATTATTATATCGCATTCAATTTGTTGCAGTAAATAGTCATATTCGCCCTTAATGCTGCCGTAAACTCGGTGTTTTGCTCAAAAGCCAACTTCCATAAACCATCTGCCGACCAGTCGGATTCAGTTGAAATCTCTCCCCTCGTGAGTGATGCCGATTAATTGTCTCGAATTGTATCAAATTCATTACACGCTTATCTCAAACAAGCATGCATACTTAAGCCGATTCTTTGTTGTCCAACGTAAGGTTTCATTCGTAGCTGGGATTTGAAGCAGGAGGTTGCCCGCAAGGCAGCCAGTGCAGCGGAAATGAGATCATATCGAGGACCACATGGCTTGACAGGCAATTGTGCCGGGAAAACAGCTGTCGTGGGAGCCAATTGGGAGTCAGCTGCTGCGTTTGCGCCATTTTCATTGGCCGTCTTGACAATGAGACGGACGACGGGCATTTGTGTACAGGCAAGCTGCCACGCTTATTCTCCTTTTCGTCAGTCTGGTCGGCATCAAGCGGGACAACCTTGCTCCGACCTGTGGAAGCTATTAGTTGTCTCTGGACTGACGCGCTTTTAGTTATGCTTAAACGCGATTATTCTGTGCCAATGAAAGACAGTATCCAGTACTTTATGGTGAAGTGAATTTGG